AAATGTGCGCATGCTAGCACCTGCCCTCTGGAGTCTAATACTGTCATGATGACTAAGCATTAATGGCTTATGCGCCGAGACGACACGCGATCGGCTCTCCCGATGAACTGTTCCCCCCTGAGTATTCAATGCTCATTGATGTCGAATGCCGATCTGGGGGATTTGGGTACTCGGGGAGTGGCATAATTGCTCGGCACGTGGCCGAATATTTACCCATTTTCCTAGTATTCAATAGGAGGTGACGTGAATAGAAAGCACTCATTACACGAGGATGATGTGTGTGTCAGATGTAAGATGTCCAGATGAGACTGGAGATCTTTGACAATCATTGCTAATTCAGGTATAAATAATCCTAAGAAAAATGGACAAATGTATGCAAACTGGAACCATAAAAATAGTCCATTGAGCAAAATCCTTTGATCTGATACTGACTTAAATTTTGGAGGGGATAAGTCGGGCACACGTTTAACCCCCTTTTTTCTGACCCTGTTGTATCAGGTTCGCCAGCTTGGAGATCGTTGTCTCATACTATTGCAGGAATTATCCCGTGCAGTTATATTATATTGTCATTCCTTCCTATTAAGAATGAGATCTATAAAAAAGAAAGAAAAATCAAAACTTACGACAACCTAAGTTTTTTAAACAAGTTGAAAAAAAGAAGTTTGAGTAAGGATGGAGATTAAATTAATTCTAGGCTAAGTAGGGTCAATTGAAAAGGAAAGAAATAAAAAGAAGAATTTTATTTACACAAGGGTGGGGAGGGACATTAGGATTGGTTGGTAGAGAATGGACATGGTAAGAACATACTAGAAGAATGGAGGAAAGGAGCAAAAGCAGCTAGTTAGGAAGGGCGGAGAGAGAGAGAGAGAGAGAGAGAGAGAGAGAGTGCAGTAGATTTTTTGAATTTCAATTTTCTGGTTTGGGTATTAATGATGATGGCTCATTTAAGTCAACAAAGCTTAAGGGTGAGTATACAAACCAAAACAGAAATAATATTGGTAGACTCTGGAAACATGCATAGGTGGGGACCTCTTTAAACTGTAAGATCGAGCTTCACTCACAACCTGAAACACAGAAATTGATTAATGATACATGAATTAATATATCAATCAAACTCACGGAATTAAAATGTTTACGGAAGGATGGCGATATCAAGTCCAAGTGCAAGCCAATACCACAATTAGTTCCTTTTTCTTTTTGGTCGATTTTCCACTACTTGGAAAACGGAGAGGACGGCCGGTCGGTCATGCTTAATAAAAGCATACTGTGGTCGAGAGCACTAAGACTAGTTGGGTTGGGTTAGGGGAATCCATCTTTAATTTTCTTTTCTTTTCCTTTCCTTTCTTTTGTGTCTGACTGACTGACTGACAAATGGAAAGGCTTTAATCGATCCTTCCCTTGCCCCCACTCCACTACTCCCTCAAAAGAAGGAACAAGAAGACAATAATAGCAAAAGGTTTTCCAATATGTCCACAACACAAACATTACCTTCATCTTCACCTTGCAAGCAACCCATATCCCACAAAGCGAAAAATATGTTCGAATCCACACAGAATGCCGTGCATTTGACCACCCAGTCAAATCAGCTAAAGTGCTCCAATTCCTACGTTATTTCAGATTAACCACGACAACAACAATAACAAATGTGTGATGGGTTTGGAAATCGTTAGGTTTATTTTGTTTCTTTTGACTTGAGCTTTTAATCCCTTTCGATCAGGTCTGATCAAAGATTGTGTCATGATTGTCTACTCGACTTTGCCATATTCTAATTAAAGAAGAAAAAATAGAAGAAACAAAGCTTCATCCTTCCCTTCCCTTCCCTTTCTTGGCCTTCGAGCTGGTCACTTGTAATGGGTCTTGGGCCGCTTCAATTTTCATACATATAGTTGGCTTTCAACCTGGTCCACCTATTATCTATCTCTGCTGTGGGCAGACTCAAAGTAATTTAGCTACTCTCGCTAACTGCACATTTTATTCATTGTGTTTGTTGGCATCCCCCTGTCAGTCCCCGCTCCCATGCGGTTATGAACGGTTCCAAAATGACATGCTATTCCATCTCATCTTTTACACCTGAATGGTAGGAAGAAGGTAAATGAGGAGGAATTTTGGTGCTTCTATTGAAGAAGACTCGAACCTGCCTCTTTGTTTGAATCACTGACAATTCGAGCAACCCGCAAGACTGGAATTTTGAAAAAAAGGAATGTCTGACTTTACCTATTCTAGTCAAGTTCTTGCTTGGAATAAATCGTTTCACTTTGAGTCGGCTTCACCTACGCCTTGATAAGGTGGTTGCCCCCCTCCTACCCGTAGAGAGAGCTGGAGTTCCGCCTTTGTATGGCGGATTGATTGATAGTAGGATCAATCATGTTTAATTTCATACAGGATCAACAAGCCCCAGGTTAAACCACTCTCCAAAACTTCACCTTGTCATGCTTTCCAGCAGCATCCTACCGCACCACCTAACCAATCCCTCCTAATCCTTGAATATCCTTTTCTCTAATCAGGTGCATCCAAGGAGCATCCTGATCTGGTGCTTCTTCAGGTTCAGTTCCCCAATTTCAAATCCCTTTTCAATGTTCATTAACTTGTTGAGACTCTCCAGATGATGACATATCGGGCCTCCAAACTTTCAAGAAATTTATACAGCTGGTTCTTTGATACTTGGATACTTCCTATCATCTTTCCTCACTTACTTTTCCAGTAAGCAGCCACACTTACCTAAACTATCATCAATCAGAAAATTTGATCATCTAGAGGGCAGCTAAATACCAAATGAATTTCCCTCCCAACACATCATCAATAACATTATTCCATCTTGTCTATCCAAATGAAGAGCTTATTTTCTTGAGAACACTCAAAATTCTTAGATGCTCAATCAGAACTTCGGTAGGCTCTCTCCTTTGAAGCTGCATTCAGCTCATCAATTAACTTTGAAGTTTCATATCTTTTTTTTTCAGTGCCTCTAGTTATTTGGGGTGTAATCCTGCTGTGAAGCCTGTGCCTTTGGGTAGCATCAATTCTTGAAGCATTGTTCATTGATTGAATTCCCGGTTTACCTGCATGATCCAAACTAAAGACTAATAAAAATAAATGGATGCTACGGCAATAAAAAATGTTATTTCACATTGCACAAACCTCCTTTTCATACTCGATTTGATATCTTCATGGTCGGAAAACATAACTTAGCCAAATGTTACTTCTGATTCCTGTTCAAATCATAAACACGCTAATGAGCTCCCACGTCTGTAACCCATTTCTAGCATCAAAGGTAGAAGCTTCTCTTGTAACAGTATGTAGATCTCCTTGACTTCAGGATGAGACCTGTCCCCCACAAAAAATACATGATTTTTCCCCTGTACTTCTATTTGACTAAAACCAGGTACTTTCTTCACTTTCCTCTCCTTCATCTTCTTCCTTATTCGTGCAAATTCATCCCACTTCTCACATGCCGCATACACATTAGCCAAGAGGACATATCCTCCAGAGCTAGCTGGCTCAACCTCTATCAGTTCCTCTCCAATGTTACTTGCCAGTGCAACATCCCCATTCAATTTGCATGCACCAAGTAATGCCCCTAGAACAACAACATCCCGTTCGCTTGGAGGCATCTTGCGAACCACCCGCGTAGCCTCATCAACTAGTCCCGCTCGACCTAGGGTGTCAACAAGGCAGGCATAGTGCTCTGCCTTTGGTTCCAAATCATACGCACACCTCATTGAGTTGAAAAGCCTTTGGCCTTTATTGACAAGACCGGCATGACTACAAGCTGACAAGACTCCAACAAAAGTAATTTCATCAGGCTTGGTTCCTGAACGTAGCATCCGTGCAAAGGCCTGTAATGAAAGTGTACCATAGCCATGACTCGAATATGCTACTATTATTGCAGTCCATGACACAATATCTTTTGCCTCAAGATTTTCAAAAGCAAGCCAGGCAGAGCTAACATCTCCACTTCTAGAATACATCGTAACAAGAGCATTTATAAGCGATGTCTCACACTCAAACCCAAGCCGTACAACAAGACTATGAGCTTGCAACAATTGAATGCTCTCACATGAGGTCAATAAACTAGTGAGAGTAGTCTCATTCAGTCTAATGCAGCACCGAAGCATGAGAATGAGGTACTTGAAGGCTTCACCCTCAGGCCCATTCCTAGCATACCCATCAATCATTGCATTCCAAGTCACTGTATTCCTCTCCGGCATCAAATTGAAAAGCTCAATGGCTATAGCCATCAGCCCTTCGTCAGCATAGGCTGTGATCATCGCATTCCATGCAGCGGTGTCTTTTTTAGGCATCTGATCAAAGTACTGCCTTGCAAGTTTGGTCGACCCAGTTCGTGCCAGACCTGTAACCATAGTAGTCCAAGAAACTGCATTCCTCCGAGGCATTGAAATAAATAGCTGAATAGCCTCATTTACTCGAAACTCATCTAAAAAACCATGAATCACTATGTTCCAAGAATAAATGTTACGCAGAGGCATTTGATGGAAGAGCTTAAGTGCCTCATCAATTTGGAAATTCTCAACATAGGCCTTCATCATGGCCGTCCAAGAAACCACATTTTTCTCCGGCATTTGATCAAAAACAGTCCGAGCTTGATCAATCAAACCATTGCGAGCATATCCCAATACTACCGTAGTCCAGGAGACCACATTTTTCTCCGGCATTCGTTCAAACAGTTGGCGAGCCTCATGGACTCGTCCGCTTCTAAGATACCCGGAAATCAAACTGGTCCAGGAGAATACATTCCTTTCAGGCATATTATCAAATATTCCCTGGGCCTCATCCATCCGACCAGCCTTGGCATACCCATTGACCATTGCAGAATCAACCACAATGTTCCACTCAGGCATTGCACGGAAAAGCTGCTCGGCTTGCAGGAGATCATTGTGCTTAAGATAAACGGTAATCATGGAAGCATAAGAAACGATGTCCCGATGAGGCATTTCATCGAACATCCTCCTTGCTTCGTCGACCTTAGCAAGACGACCCAGACTAATTATCCTGGAATTACCATGGTATATACTTTTATCCAAGACAATTGAGCTGGTATCGAATCTTTCACGGTTGGGAATAGCAGTCAACTTGGAGTTGGAGTTGGAGTTGTAGTTGGAGTTGGCTTGTGGTTGCAGGTTTGGAATAGGCTTTGACTGTGGGAGTGTATGCATTGAATGCCTGAAACGGGAGGGAAGAGTGAGAGTGTGAATATTCAAAAGATAACGACAAGAAGCCCGAGAACATACTTCCCTCGTTAGAACAATCGACACGACTGGACTCATTGTAAATTGTAATTTGGAGTTTTAACATTTTCAATCAACATATACTTTTGAGCTTTCAATTTTTTTTTTTTTGAAGAAGTTGGATCAATTTGTATCAGTATTTAGACCGTCGAGCGTCAGACCACCACGAAAAAGCCGAAACCAAGTAAGCTGAAACTGAAAGAATGTTTAATGTCCGGTATGAACTCGAGAGGTTGTAGACCGCTGCCTCGCCCTGGTGTCAATTGGAGTTTTTGCGCTTTCCGAAGGCAGAGGGCAGACCGCCGCAAGAGTGGTGCACACAACACAATTTATATTTAAAAAAGTACAAGGACGATTTAGATTTATTTTAATTATAATTTAATGATTTAAATTTCATCTCAATTCTTCTCATTTAATTTAAGGCTCACATTTCATCTCACACAAACAAAAATCTCGCCCAAATCAAACCCACTCCCTACACGCTATCCCCTCTACAGCTACTCTCCTGTTCACCAATCACTTTGTCTGTCATGGCTCATGGCTCAACATAGCGGCAGAGGAATTGATACCCACACCCAGACCCCTTACCCCTCTACCCAGACCCTTACACTGCTACCCACACCCCTCTCACTCCTCTATCATGGCTCAGCGGCAGCACACAGCAGTAACACCAACATTCTCAGCCTAGGTAACTCCCTCTCCCCCTCTCCCCCTCTCTTTCGCTCAGCATTCTCAGCCCAAGCTCAACATTTTGAAGGTTGGTTGAAGCTTTGGGTTATCAGAGATCTTTTTTTTTTTTAATTTCCTGAACATTTTCTTCCATCTGTTATTCACGAAGCACTGATATGGGTTTGTTTCTTTCATTGATATGGGTTAATTTCCTAAACATTTTTTAATTGTTTCTTTCATTGATATGGGTTTCTTTCTTTCATTCATTATCCACAAATTAATTTTTGTTGCCGCTTTGGCTTAATTTTTGTTTCTTTCTTTCATTCATTATTCGTGTTTAATAAATAAACATTTGTTTATTCTGGTGTCAACACGTACCCACTGGTGCAAAGAACGGAAGCTCCAACATGCCACACTCTCGAATTTGTTATGTAAATTTTGATTATGCTTTCGAATTTGTATAAGTTTGTTGCTTTGTAGTCAAAGGTTCCATTTTGCTAACATTATTTATTTGTGACTGTTTGAATTTGTTTCGTTTGAACGTTTTTATGTTAATACAAAGCCATGGTGTAGTATTGTTTTTCTAATTCTGTTTGATAAATGGTGATTAGAAATCTTAAATTTCCTGTTCATAGAATCCAATCATAAAATTATTATTTATGTGCATGTTCTTGAGCATTTTTAGGCACTTTTAAGAACCAATTGAAAGATTTTATAATTGAATCATAAAATCAAACAATTGTAATCTAACACTTTTTTCTATTTTCGGTCTTAGAATCGGCATCTATACTAATAAGATAGAACCCAATTTGAATCCATTTTTACTTCAAAATTTAATCCAATTTTAATTTATTTGGGAAAGCACAAGGACGGCTCAGATTTAATCTACTTTTAATTTAATGGCCTAGATTTCATCTCAATTCTTCCAATTTAATCCAAAGGCTCACATTGCATCTCAAAATCCCGCCCGAATCAAACCCACCCCCTACACGTTACCCCTTCTGCAGCTACTCTCTGCCTCCCGCCCAAACCCAGTCACTTCCTCTCAAACCCAGTCACTTCCTCTGCCATGGCTCATGGCTCAACAATACCCATAGACCTTACACTGCTACCCACACCCCTCTCATTCCTCTGCCATGGCTCAGCGGCAGCACGCAGCGGCGATCAACACAACGGCACACAGCAGTGGCTCACCAAGCTCAGCCCAGGTACCTCCCTCTCCCCTTCTCTTTCGTTGTGATTCCTTTGCCATGGCTCATGAACACAAAAGCCAAGCAGTGTTAATAGATGAAATTGGAAAAATGTGTTGGCCCAAACCAATTACCTTCCAGTTACAACAGTATCACTCGAACTGTAATACCCCACATGCGTTTAAAAAAAAATAAAAGACATAGGTGTTCAGTAATTATTTCATTTGAAATGATAAAATAGTATAACTCAAGGAAAGAGTAGTTAAAAGATTAGTTTCGGTATGAAAATGTACAAAATAAATCATAAAAGAACTTGAACTAATTAGGTCGATGTAGAAAAGTATGTAGGATAAGTTAGGATTAAAGTTGGAAGGATTGGAAGTGAAAAGGGGCGCCCAAATGGGCGCTGGGGCGCTGCTCCGGGTACATTGCCTACTCCGGACCAGTTGTCGTAGAATCGTCATAACTCTTGCTACAATGGTCCGATTGAGCTGAAATTTTGACACAATGCAGAAGACATCTAGATCTACAACTTTCATGTTTTGCACTTTTTCAGATTCAAAGTTTATCATGATCAAAAATAAGGAAAACAGTAAGTCTGGAAAACCCCCAAAACAGACGATGAACAGTAAAAGTCGGGATTTTTGGGTTTTAAAACACCCATTCCAAGCCCTATTTCTCCCATTCTTCATTTCCCTTCCACTCTAAATACCTTAGAGCCCTAAGAGAAGAGAAAAGGGAGAGAAAAACACCAAGGTCAAGAGAGATTCCCACCTCATAAAGATCAAAACCGAATTTCTCAAGTTTTCTCTTCTCCACCCATTTCTTTTGCTTCTATTCCTCAACCACTCACACCCAAATCTCTAGAAACCCTAGGAGGACGAAATTAAGAGGAAAAGGAAGGAGAATAGGAAGATTTTGAATCTTGGGTCTTAGATTGAAGCTACAACCAAGAGGTAGGGGATTTCTTCCTAATTTCTTACATTGAGGCTAAGGTTTATGTATATACATATGTTTTCCACTCCCATCCATATTTATTTGATATGATTTGTATGATTCTTAATTCTCCTTGTAATAAATGCTATGTTTGAATAATGGGATGGTTTGGTAACCATTAAATTTCTCTTTTTCATCTTCCAAACTTGGTTTTAAGAAAAATTGAGTTTTCTCCATATATTGCCTTGGTTCTCACTTTATAAATTTAGTGTTCGATATTGTTCAACGAAAATGATCTTTATATTGATCTTTTGCTCATTTTAATTCCATCTTGCTATGACGCTTTACTTGTGAAATTTGGGTATTTTGCGATTAATTGGTAAAATGTGAATTGATTGAGAATATGTTGGTTTACTCATTGTATGGTGGTTGAGAGGGACTTGGATTACCTACGAGATATGCCGTAGAGTGTAAATGTCAGTCGAACCCAGTGGGGGGGGAGATGGTTTCTTGTACTTGTAGTGAGTTGTCATTTGGTAATGCGACCACTATCGTACGCCTGGAGTTCGAACTAGGGTTGGTATACCATTCCTGGGGAGGGACTCGTCACTGCCATTGGGATGGTAGACGCCCCTTCCCTAAGTACTTGTGATTGTGATTATAAATGGGTGGACTAGGTATAATCGTTGGGTAGATTCATGAGAAACAATCAACATACATGGTACGGGGATGAACCAACATAAATGTGATGATTGGCTGGAATGGCTTGGCCGGTGCATTGGTATGGGACGATGCATCGGAGGGAGCCCCTCCTAATTGACTTAATGTTGGAAATGGTTTGCTATGGTTAAACTTAATTTATTTCTCTCCTTAACTACTGTATGGCTTAAACTTGAGATCTATTTAAAATGTCCCGTTTTACTTCAAATTCATATATGTTATTTATGAAATGTGACCGACCCGTTTTGTATTTTATAAACCTTGTTGGAGTTGGGAAGATTTTGCTACAGAGCCTAGTGCTCATCCCCTACTGTTAACATTTTTCAGACTATATCCTTGAGGAGGAGCCAGGAGTCGAGGAACCCGTTCTTTGGGAGACTCCGATCGACGGGAGCGTAGATCCCGAGGTGGACGCCTAGAGCGGCCCTTCTATTTTGTTCTAGACTAGGCTATGTTTTTTTGAAAGATTGTAAAGTCTAGTTATCTTTTGAAATTCTGCTGCTTATCATAGTTTAATTCTTTGGGAATGTACATGCCATTGTGGGCATATTTTTTTGGGTTAACATGTAAATTTGATGGATTGATTATATAGTAGTTAATTGGACCCGGTGTGGTCATTATAGTAGAATTGCACAGGTTGGATTTTGTGGTAGAGCTCCCCGTACAAAGGAGACTCTGCCCGAATTTTGTTAAAATATCAATGGTTGATGGATAAAAATTTCTTATTTATGGATTTATTTAGTGCTCTCATGATTGTGAAAGGTTTTAGAATGTAATGCCGTCCGAGGGGGTATTTGGGGCGTTACAAAGTTTGGTATCAGAGCCTAGGCTTTAGGTCTTACATGGGAGCTGTAGGTTATGGACTACCACTAGAGATGTAGGTTTAGGGTGCAGGAAATGGTTGAGTTAATTTTTGTATATGCCTTGTGCTTAAATCAAGACATCCTACATATCATTTTAGTATGTCTTGTACATCAATGAAACTAAATTGTGAATTGATGTGCAGGATGGACGGTGAACGTGTACGTGGGCGTGGCCGTGGCCGTGGAGGTCAAACATATCCACCACCACCACCACCTCCCGATGCCATGGATGGCATATACCAATGCTTGAGGGAGCTCACCACTTTGGTACAAAACCAAAATGGTAACAACAACCACCACAACCATAATGGTGGAGCACATCCTTTAGCCCAAGTACCGGGCAACGGAGAGGAGACTAGGAGAATGGTAGCTCTCCGAGAGTTTCTGAGGCAACACCCACCTACTTTCCAAGGGAGCTCCAATCCCTTGGATGCGGATAAATGGATCCGCCGTGTGAAGAAGATGTTGGACGGAATGGGAGTGGCCGAGGACTTGCGGGTTGGCTTGGCTATCTATTTGTTGGAGGGGGAAGCCGACCATTGGTGGGACTCGGTGAAAAGGAAAATGAACACGGATGCTCTCACTTGGGCGGAGTTTGATCAAGTCTTCCAAGACAAGTACTTCCCGGAATCGGTCCGAGATCGAATGAAGACCGATTTTCTTATTCTACGACAGGGCAGCCTGACTTTAGCTGAATACGAGAGGAAGTTTGATGAGCTATCCCGCTATGCTACGGAGTTCATATCTACGGAGGCCAACAGGGCCAAACGCTTTGAGCAGGGATTGAGGCCTGCCATTAGGGAGAAGCTGGTGGCTCTCAGGATCCGGGACTACGGGGATTTGGTGGACAGAGCTGCACTTGTAGAGAAGGACATGGAGGATACTCAGCG